GATTAAATAGCTAAATCAAGGTGCTTTGAATAGCAAAATCAAACCATACCTGTATAGCTAATTCAACTACAGAGCTTAATCAATTTTAAGAAGATTGTGCAAAACCTGTTTTAATTCTTAATCATTCTTAAAATATTTATATCAAGGGAGAGCTAGGCATATGACCAAAAATTCCATGATCAATTGATTTGATAAACATGTATATTTTGAGAAGATCAGTAAATAATGATGACAAGTGGAAAACGGCCGGGTTTTACTATTCACAAATTTGAGGAGTTTTCAACATTTAAGACAATGCAGATATAACCCCTTCCCCTTTTCCACCTTCCCATCCCCCGGGTCGTTTAATTATGTATACAAATTATTTATAATTCGTTTTGATATAAACCAAATTGTGAATAATACAAAAATATATATATATACACAAAGTTTAATGGCGGGTCTCTGAATGATTTTCATTTTCTAATTCTAGGAGGGTGGGCTGACCCTAGGGGGTCATGAATATAATGTCAAGCAGATTATCACTGACACACTTTTGACGCAGGTCATATTGTGATCATTTCTAGTTTCAGGGTGAGGATGACTTCAAGGGGGTCATAACCTTTATACCATTTAATGCATAATGACTCAATTGACAATATTATATATTGTTAAGGGGAGACGTTTTCAACCATTTTCAAGATATATGATCATTTGAAGTTTTAGGGGTTGGGAATGACCTGGGGGGGGGGGTCATGACCACATATATCCCATTTAGTGTGTCATAATACAAAGATGACTTAAGAACTTTTGCTTCAATGAAAGCTATTTTATTGTTTCTGGTTCCAAAGAGTCGGTATGACCCCAGGAACTTGCCTCAATGTATAATTTGCATGTAGCATTCCAATGATCTTAGACTCTTTTCAAACTATAGGCCCCTAACCATTTTCATTTCTTATTATTTTACCCCGTTCTATATTAAACTTTTAAAATAATATATTCATAATATACTTACTGTCTGTTTTAGGTACTGTTTACTTCATAGAACAATAAATTAAATCCATTTAAACACACACTATGAATAGTCCTACTGGTAATAATGAAGTACATACACCATGTGCAATCCAATAATGATAACGGTAAAAGTAGTGCTCGTAGTGTGATGTAATTCCAATGCCATGCTAGGATCTAGATATTGTCCAAAAAAAAGGTGTACATTTGGAAAATTTATATTATTATTACATTCAATGTTTAAGAACAAGGTACGGTTTCAATACAAATCTTGCCCTGTGTTTTTCTTAAAAATGAAAGTGATGTGAAAAATTAAAACTCATGCTTTTTGAAATATTGAAATTCCATGCAGATAGATCATACAAATCTTTTTTCTCACATGACCTTCCAAATGCTAATTGTGACGTCATAAACTTGTGCATTTTCCCGTATTTTCTTAAAAAGTTGCAGAAGACACCAATTTTCAATGGAATTTTCTTTCAGATTATATTGTCCACAGGCATCGCCCACAAAGATTTTGAGATATGTGGTTTTTCAAAGAATTTTACACAACATATCTAAAAATAAACGTGGGCGACGGCTGTGGACACTATTTTCTTAAGGAAAATAACCCTTAAAATGGGTCATTTTGAGGTTTTTTCTGTTTAAAATAGAGAAATGCATCAAATTAATGACGCCATATATCCAGAATGGTACTCCATCATGCTATATTCTTTCCTGATTTATTACAGTTATATACTCAACTAATATTTAAGCCAGTTTCAAAACTTTTTGAAAACATTAAATTTTTAGGGCACAATAAAGCTAAAACCATACCTTCTTCTTTTTACATAAGTTTGTGTTATCTATTCCAAATATAACAGGAAAACAGGTGTTGATTTTTGACAAAGTTGATCGGGTGAAGGTTTGGAAAGGAGTTTTCCTACCCAAATACTGATACAAATTTGCACAATTTTGGCATCTTGATTTTAAGTTTATCAAAATAGCTATGCACTAAAATAATAATATTTGTTGTTTTTGATAATAAATTCAACAAGTTCAAATTATGGGCCAAAAATTAAGCACCCCCTCTTTTTACACAAATCTTTCAAAAATTCTCTTTAACAGAATTTAAAATGTAATATCAGATTGGGCCAACTTTAAAATATGTTCGCTTGCCCTCTCCCGACTCAGGATGAAAAAAATGGGTGGGTAGGTAGGTGGGAATTTTTTTTTACTTGAAAATTTCAACTGAATTTTTTAAAAAAAATTTCCGGAAGGCATAAAAAATAATTGCTTCCTGGAAGTTTAAAAAAAAATTGAGTCGGGCCATTTTAGCCAGTCGGTCGGGAGAGGGCAACCAAACATTTTTTTAAAAAAACGGCCCTGGTAATGAAATATTTCCATAAGAGGCCCATATGGGCCTCATGGTCACCTGAGCCTTTTATGCTTGATTTAAATGCGTGCTTCTTTCCTGCATGGTTACCAGAATTTGATAAAGCACATTTAGAGGCAAACACCTTAGTGCGGGTATTACTGTATTATGACAGCATCTAGTACTTTTATTTTGCTCTTACCCTTAAGGTTTTCCATCCCTAATAGGACCAATATCTCTATCCTTAAGGTGAAATATCCCTCTGCTCTAAATTTCACCAATTTTTTTTTTCAAATCCAAGCATTGATTTTAATGCACCGTGCTCATTATTATGTATTATTTATCTTAATGTCTACTTACGTACCATGTCTTACTGAAATCTGATCAAAACTCTAGGAGGAGGTTTGAAAGAATTTCAAAGAAATTTCCATTTTAGTAACCATGGCAACACTGTTGCAGGCTCATGCTAAGAACAATAGCATTAGATTCAAGTGGGAAATAGTTTGAGGTATGAAGCCTTGCTTACTTCTCCAGAAATAAATATTATGTCGAATTATGAAGAAAGTTTGAGATAGTAAAACGAAAGATCAATAAATTTTTATCTCAACATCAAAATAAAAAATATGGGGTATATATGAAAATAATATTTACTGTCATACATAATTACATTTATGTTAATAAATGCATTTTTGGCATGAGCTGTAGTTGGTGTGTTGGGAGAGTTATCTCCCTGCAGAGTAACACTGCCGTTAGGTGGCAGTGCAATAGTCAAAGTTTGTAAACAAAAGCTGAAATTCTACGGTAGTAGAAAGCTGGCTATTTAGTGTTTTCAAACACGGTGAGTGGTGGATCCATTTTATGTCGCAAGTTAGTAGATGTACTGTAGTGTATTTTTTCTATTGTGTGTGTTCAACCAAGGCGGAAACGTCGGAAAAACGAATAGCGTGGGTTGCATTGTGAACATCCATTGTGAAAATTTGCGCGGACTGACCATCAACAATTTGCTACAAGAAAAGCATCAGTAACGTGAGGAAACCCATAGTATATACATGTAGGTATTTAAAAAACAAACAAACAAACAAAACAACTGTTATTTATGGTTGAATTGTGTGGACGCTGTGATTTCAGTGTATGAAAATACGGATCGGGAGATATTGTCTGCCTGTGCTAAAGATATCCTCGATGCTGATTGGTCAGTTACATGTCAATATGTAAATGAAGCGACATGACCGATGTTGTGATTGTAGGCGATTCACACGTGAAAAGACTAGCAACTTTCCTTTCTTATCGTGATAAAAAATTTGATATTGAAGACTACTCCGTTCTTTGTTATGGAATACCAGGAGGATGTATTAAAAATTCACGACATATTGAAAGAATTGAAGTTTTTATAAAGGTCTTGTTGTACACTTGGGTGGGAATGATTTAGACTCTAAAGAAGTGACATTTGATGAAGTAAATACAATCATTTTGCGATATGTGGCCCTTTTAAACTTGTTTGCAAAAAGATATTCCCTTGAAATAATAGTGTGCCAATTACTGTTTCGTCAAAGAACAAGATATTTAACAGATTGTACTTACAATAATTTTGTGAGTTTTGCAAACAAAATTCTTAAGAAGGAATTGTCTAAACATTCAAATTTAAGGTATTGGAAGTTAAAGGGGTTAAAAAACAGTCAGGCTGATATATACAAGCAGGATGGTGTACATTTAAATGAGACTGTTGGCTACCATAAATATTATAGGAACATTCGAGGTGCCATTCTGCATACTCTGAAGTTAGTATAGTGAGCAGATGAATGATTTTAATCCATAATGCTTTGTATATATATATATACAGTACTATATATATATGTATCTTTTGTGAAAATTTTAAATAATAGTTGTGACATATTGCACTCAGTGTTTGATAAGAAAAATTTCATTGCGTATGAATTTTTATGACGTTCACATTTAATGCATACAGACATGTTTTACAGATTAAGTAGCAGTACATGCCAGTAAAAGTTTTTCGCATCAATCAAAGACTAGAATTGGAAGGGATACTCTTAAGGTACTGACAGTGGTGTTAACCATGTTAGATAATTTGCAGAGTCTTCGGTCTCTCTCATTATGTTAACAATAAGGAAATATCAGGTATATCCTATTTAAGATTATGGTAAGCAGGCTGAGTTATTCTGCCTAGGTTGTAAAAATTGATTCCTGTTAAGGAATTTTTAAATTAATTTAAATCCTGTAAAGGAATTTGCAATCAATAGGTTTTTATATCCTGTTAAGGATGAAAAGTTATTCCTGCTAAGGAATTTATGTATTTGAAATCAATTGTTTTCTATTTACCCTGCGGAGGATGAAAGTTTCTTCCTGCTAAGGAACTTCCTGTTAAGGAACTTAGAATCAGAAGTCTCTGAATTATCCTGCTAAGGATTAAATTGTATTCCTGCTAAGGAATTTTAAATACATGTAAGACCTGTTAAGGACATTGCAATGAATAATGGCTTATTCATCTTGCTAAGGATGATAAGTTTCTTTTTCCTGTTAAGGAACTTCCTGTTAAGGAATTTTATCAAAAAGATGAAAGCTTATTCCTGCTAAGGATTTTACTTCATTGTCTTGGCAATGGTAATTGCAAGTTGTTTTTGCATTTTGATGTTAATCAATGCTAAATGCCATAAAGTACGTTAGTACTGGTATTGTAATAAAGCTATATTTATTTCAGCTCTCAAAATGCCGCCAGCACGCAAAAGAAGAAGACTAGATGATACAAATAGAAAGGAGGTTTCCGATCTGATGTCACAGATGCTGCAAACAATGGTACCATACATTGTAGAAATGGTTACTCAGAAATTAAAGGGAGATATGTCGCATCTGCCTACAGAGCAAGGATCTCCTACCAACGTAAGCAGCTTGGATGTAAGCCAACCGCCCCATCTAACAATGTTGTAGCAACAGTCCATCAAGGAGAGCCTAGTCAACAGGGTACAAGCAGTGCAGCAACCCTGCCAAGTCAACCCTTGACAAACAGTACCCAAGGTAATGTTTTAAATACAACGGGTCCATTACATTCAGGTCGTCCCTTAGGACAAAGCATTGACAAGAAATTGAAAGCTAAAATTTGGGCGGAAGAATACATCCAACTTGGTGCTCTCCTGTTCAAGAATCCATATTCAAAATTACAAGCAGTGCAAGGTGCAAACAATGAAATAACTTTTCAGCACAAAGAGCAAAAGTTTTATTTGAAATATTTCACTCAGTGGATAAATGCATTCCACATTTTTGTGTCAATTTATTGTGAGAAATTTCCTAACCAGTCTTCCAACATGATGAAGTACATGGCAATTGTACAAAAATTAAATGCAGATGTTGGGGAAAAGGCAGCTCTGTATTATGATGAGCAATTTCGACTGTGGAGAGCGGATAGCCCAAGTCTTATGCCCTGGCAGCTTATCAACCAGGAACTTCATTCTGAGGCACTACAGATTGGCTTAAAAACCAAAATTCAGACTTGGGAGAAATCATCAAAAACTAACAGCTCCTATACTCAGCAGTCAGGAAACAAACAGCAGCCCTTTCGTGCCAGATCACAGGAAAAAGGTCCGTGCTTTAGTTTCAACAACAACGCAGGGAAGTGCCTCAGAACAAACTGTGACTTTCCCCATATTTGCCTTAGGTGCCAAGGACAACACCACAAAAGAATCTGTACCCTCTCAAGTGAAATCCAGCCAAGCCCAGTTAGATCCTTGCCAGCAAGTGGGAACAAAATCAGTCAGACCGCAACAAAGGCTAAGAAATAAAGATCATGATGTGGTTACACCGATAAAAGTTGATGTGTTAAATTTGTGGCTAGAGGGTTATGAAGAGGAAAAACTACAGTACTTGTTGGATGGGTTTAAGTTTGGGTTTCGCATTCCATTTAATGGCAATAGAACTTTTCGTTATAGTGAAAATCTCAAGTCAGCTCGTGAAAATTTAGAAATTTTGCAGGAAAAAATTCAAAAAAAAAGTTGCCACAAATAGGGTCGGGGGCCCTTTCCATATCAATAATATTCCATTCAAAGCATTACAGATTTCTCCACTGGGTCTGGTTCCTAAGCAGAAACCTGGGGAATATAGGGTAATCCATCACCTCTCATTTCCTGAAGGGTCATCAATTAATGATGGAATTGATAGAGAACATTCAGCTGTATCTTATCAAACTGTTGATGATGCTGTTAAATTGATAAAACAATTTGGAAAGGGAGTTTATTTGTCTAAAACAGATATTGAACATGGCTATAAAAATATTCCTATTCATCCATCTGACCATGAACTATTGGGGTTTGCCATTGGGAAAGATATATACTTTGATAAGACACTTCCTATGGGATTAAGTTTTGCATGTAATCTTTTTGAAAAATTTTCAACAGCATTGCATTGGATTGTAACCAACAAACTTAAGATTCCTGGATGTGTACATATGTTGGATGATTTTTTGTTGGTAAGACCACCTTCCTACTCTATATGTGAGAAACAATTATGCATACTTCTTAACACTTTTGACCACATCGGCATTCCAATGAAACAAGATAAAACAGTATTTCCAACAACCACCATCACATTTCTTGGATTGGAATTGGACACGGATAACATGATTATACGTCTCCCAGAAGAAAAACTTTCCAAGATACGTAAGGAAATTTTCAATGCAAAGTGTCGGAAAAAGATGACTCTACAAGAAATTCAATCATTGATTGGGCTATTAAATTTTGCCTGTGCAGTAGTTACACCAGGAAGAACATTCCTCCGCCGGCTCATTGATTTGACCAAAGGATTAAAAAAGCCTCACCATAAGCGAAGAATAACACAAGATGCAAGAGCGGATTTAGAGGCATGGTCATTTTTTATTGAACATTTTAATGGTTCATCATTTTTTTTGGACAATAAGCTTCAAACATCAGAAACACTGCAATTGTATACGGATGCAAGTGGCTTAGGACATGGAGGGGTGTTTGGAAAACAATGGTTTTACGGAGAATGGACGACCGAATGGACTGAACATCATATATCTGTAAAAGAACTTTTCCCAATTGTTGTGGCTGTTCATTTATGGGGAAATCAAATGGCTAATAAGAGAATCTGTTTCTTTTCAGATAATATGGCAGTTGTGCACGTTATTAATAAACAAAGTGCAAAGGACCAGTCTATTATGAATTTATTGCGTCGTCTCATTGTTCAGTGTTTGAAATTCAACATTCTATTTTATGCTAAACATGTGCCAGGTGTCAAAAACATATTAAGTGACAAATTGTCTCGATTGCAGATTCAACAGTTCCGGGAACTGGCTCCACACATGGACAAGTCTCCGTTGGAGATCCCATCAGAAATATACAAAATCTGAAAGAGGTGTCGCAGTTCTTGTTGGACAATGCCCTTACAGTTGGGACACGTAATTCATATCAGAGAGCAAAATTGGCTTATGAGGAATTCTTGGAAGTCCATTTTCCTGGAACAGTAACATTTCCAATTGATGTAGAACATTTAGTGTTGTTTATATCAAATTGTTACCAAAAAGCTCTTGCTCCTCAAACTGTTTGTACATATTTGTCTGCATTAGCACATTTTAGTAAGATGGAAGGTCATGTTGACCCTACTCAAAATTTTGTGATAAAACGAACAATTCAGGGTTTTCAAAAATTAAAGTCCACTGCAGATGTCAGAATGCCTATTACCCCTTCAATTTTACAAAAATTGGTAAACTCCCTTCATTTATGTACATCTTCATTTTATGAGAAATGTTTGTTTAAAGCAATGTTTTTACTAGCTTTTCATGCATTTTTACGCATTGGTGAAATCACAAGCACAACAAAGTCTTCTACTGTCCTACCATTAACAGCTATACAATTGGAAAAATCTCCCAATGCCAGACCTAAAGAAATGATATTAACTCTAACAAACTTCAAGCATCATCAAGGCAAGCCACCTGTGACATTTCAAATAACTGCAGACACTGAAAAACCGGAAACTTGTGCAGTGCTAGCAATGTTAGATTATTTGAATGTAAGGGGTGAAGAAGATGGGCCTCTTTTCATGCTTAGAGATCAATCGCCTATTACACGCCATATGTTCAATGAACAATTGAAAATTTCTCTTACATTTTTGGGTTATGATACTAAAATTTATAAGGGTCATTCATTTAGAATTGGTGCTGCATCATGGGCTAAATCAAAAGGAGTTTCTGATGATCAGATTCAGCTGTTAGGAAGATGGAAATCAGAAGCTTTTAGAAGATATATTCGAATTCCTTTATTAAAATTATAAACAAGTTTTGTCATTGTAAAATGGAAAAATTTCTCAGCTGATTGTAAGCAGTACAAAGTAAACACTTACTAATACATAATAAGCCTTCACGTGTATATATTGTGATCAGGTACCTTTAATTGTAGCATAGAGAAGAAATTCTGCAAGAATGTGTATAGTCCCTTCATAATTGGCTTGTATTGTGGAAGGCTTAATAACAAACTGATACTGAATGTGTAATTTTATCTGATGTAAAAGTACTTACAATTTATTCTGAATGTGTACAAGTTTGGATATGAGGACAGGGGCCTTTATCCAATGTTATACATTTAGTGGTTTGAATAGAAATAGTTACATGGTTGGAAAAGATGGCAGGGGTCATTATCCAATGTATATCCAATATATTGTCTGAATATTTCGAAGGTTGAATATGAGGACAAAGGACTTTATCCAGTGTATAATTTTGAATAGTTACAAGCCTTTGTCCATTGTTACACACTGATTTTTGTAGAAATAGCTACAAGATTTGATATTAGGACAGGAGCCAATATACTGGTTTTTGAATATTTCCAAAGTTGGATATGAGGACAGGGGCCTTTATCCAAAATAAAAAATTTGAATAAGTTACAAAATTGGATGTGAGGACAGGGGCCTCTATCCAATGCACATGTAATTTTTAGATTGGTTTAATTAAAAATACAAGACTGGATATGAAGACAGAGGCAAAATGTCATGTTATATTAATTACTTAAGGTTAGTTTAGGTTTTTTTTTGATTGTTAAATGTGGATTTAGCTACTTTTTAGTAATATTTTGATGTTGTTAAACTTGGTATCCATGTGTGTTTATTGCATTGTTTTTCTCTGATTCTAATGTTGAATAAGCTACTTTTTAAACATTCTTTGATGAGGGTTCACTTGGTATCCATGTGTTGCACATTACAGTAGGAATAAATTGTTTTGCCATACAGTCGAATTAACATTTAAAAGTATTAATGGAAAATAAATCTTATCTTTGTGTGAAATTCTAAGTCTTATAATAATATACTCTAGGTGTTTTCTCCTATTTTGTTTACCTCGCCCAAAAAACTATTGGGTGGGGGGTATTACTAATCAGTCATACTTATTAGTAATACGTTGGCTGTTTTATTGGTCCCCACCTTTGATTTTGCAATAATCATTGAACTAGTCAGATGTTTCTCATAGAGTGTATATATTGTGAAGTTTTACAAAGTACATTAAGTTGACTTTCTCATGGAGTGTTATGTAATTCTCATTACAAAAAGTATTATACTGCATTAGTAGTTTCGTCATTTTGTTAATAAATGACCTTCTTTCAATTCAAACTGTGTTTATCTTTTTGCTGCAAATCAAACAAAGCTAATAGTTTTGCTTGGGCGAGATGACAAAAAATTACATTTATGTTAATAAATGCATTTTTGGCATGAGCTGTAGTTGGTGTGTTGGGAGAGTTATCTCCCTGCAGAGTAACACTGCCGTTAGGTGGCAGTGCAATACGTCAAAGTTTGTAAACAAAAGCTGAAATTCTACGGTAGTAGAAAGCTAGCTATTTAGTGTTTTCACCCACCACCCTCCCAAACCTGTAATTTTGTTATGTCTGTTTTATTGGTAACCAACTTTGATTTTGCAATGATCATTGAACTAGTCAGATGTTTCTTGAGAGTGTATATATTCTAAAGTTTTACAAAGTACATTAATTTGACTGTCTCATGGAGTGTTACGTAATTAAGGCTGTTTTATTATTTTGTTGCTGTTTTATTGGTCCCCACCTTTGATTTTGCAATAATCATTAAACTAGTCAGATGTTTCTCATAGAGTGTATATATTGTGAAGTTTTACAAAGTACATTAAGTTGACTTTCTCATGGAGTGTTATGTAATTCTCATTACAAAAAGTATTATACTGCATTAGTAGTTTCGTCATTTTGTTAATAAATGACCTTTTTTCAATTCAAACTGTGTTTATCTTTTTGCTGCAAATCAAACAAAGCTAATAGTTTTGCTTGGGCGAGATGACAAAAATATAATTTATATTAGAAAACATAATGAATAGTTGCTTTTAAATCAGAACATCACATTGTTTTCTGTGCTTGTAAAAAATGCATCCATCTACAAGAGTTATCTTTCCATCTACAAGAGTTATCTTTCTTCAAAATATATTTAAAGAGAAAAAATTGATAAATTATGAAAATTCTGCATCTGATACATGATAAATTCCTGTAACAATTTAAAAAAAATTATTTATTGAAACAGAAATCAATATTTGTAACATACACCGTAATTCAGTTTTGATTGAATTAACTATATAATGGTCCTCATTTTAAACTCCAGTGAGAAAATTCATTCGAATGCTTGGAATAATTTCCTTGAAAAGTTATCTCTCTTATTATAGGGACATTTCGCCTTAAATGTCCATCACGTACATAATACTCTGATATTTTTTTAAAAGCATTTTACAGTAGAAAAAGGTTTACCAAGAGAAAGTTTCAAAAGTGTAATT